GAAGTTTAAGGAGGGAAAATGGCTTCAGGGAAGGAGGCAGTGGGTGAGGGTGGAGCCACAGCAGCCTCCTGGAGGCCACGACACCATTCACTGATCTGTGGAACTGGGAAAGGCCTTGTGGTCCTCAGTCTTCCTGTCTATGAAATGGACACAAGCCTCAGTGGTAGAGAGAGTAGTGTGGGGTCCTTCGTGCACCCAGGGTGCTCTGTCAATGCAGCCTGGCCCTGCTGCCTCACCCCAGCCCTGCCTACTGGTGCAGACACACTCACTGTCCCCTTTGTCCCCTTCTGGCTGCCTCTGAGGGACCCTGCCCTCTGGGAGTTTCTTTCTTTGTCATTTCCTGGAGGAACTGGAGCCAGCTTGGAACCTGTCTGGCTCTTTAGTGGGAGAAAGGTAAAAGCAGTTCAAGGGATGTGGGTTGGAAGTATTTGGAAATGCAGATGGGCCGCACGAGCACCTTTTATTTTTGTTCAGAACATCTGAGTCTCCCCGTGGGGACTCCCCCGCCCAGAGTAGCACCTCCCCCTATGGCAGAGAGGATGAGAGAGCACCCGGGGGCTGCCAGGCGCTCAGGGCAGGCAAAAGCAAGGCTGTCACTTTCCTGCCCCACCCCTACCAAGCCACCAAAAATAGAAGGGCCAAGGTGTCAGCCCCAGGGAGGGGCCAGCTGGGGAAGCCTTTGAAGCTGGAAACAGCCGGGGAAGGAAGGCTGAGAGAAGCAAGTTTGTTAATATTCATTGGGCGGCAGCAGCAGTTGTCCCTGGGTTTTCTGTTTCCAAGGCGAGCAGGCATCACCAGCCTAGCTCAGCAACACCAGGGCCTGCGAGGCAAGGCTTGGGCTTGGCTTGTGACTTGCTGTGTGATACTGGGCAACTGGCAACCCTCTCTGGGCCTCAGTTGTCTCATCTGTAGCATGAGGGATGGTGAGTAGGTCATCTCCCGGGTTCCCTCCTGCTGCAGTGTTCTAGGACTCAGACCTTTGGCCACTGACCCCTGCCCTACCTTCTGAGTGTGGCTTAGGCCTGGGGTTCATGATTGTGCTGAGCCCACCTCTGGGAGGCAGCAGGGTGCAGGGGCACATTGATGAGTGGGGCATATGCCCAGGGGCAACATCAGAGCCGTTTCACCACCAGGGCAGTCTGGCAGGGACAGATACATGAAGGGGAGGGGGCCCACTGTGTCAGCTGTTAACCCTTCAGTTCCTGGAGCTGGGAGGTCTGAAGTTCTGGGGAGGGGCCAGGGAGGCAGGAGAGGGAAACATTGGGAAGGTTTAGGGCTGGCCTGTTTATCAACTACTGTGGAAGTATTTCACCGTTCTGACAATCCCTGCGGCTGTGTCCGTGCACCTGCTGTCTATCAGCCCTGTGAAACAGGAGGGGGAGATGGAGAAGGCTGCTGGGGTTCTGCGAGTGGCTTTCTACTCCTTCCCACCCTCCAAAAAATTTCTTTCACTCAGAGTGGGGCTAGGTCACTGTTACCCCTTGATCCAGGCACCAGGGCCCCTGGCCTGCCACGTTTAGGATGCCCCTTCTTCCCCAGGGCTGGGGTACAATGAAGGGAGGCTCTCCTCCCACTATTTTGCCCACAGCCCCCATGGCTCCACCTGCCCAGCAGCTGCCCTGGACCACAGGCCAGGTGGCCTCAGTTCCTGGCTCCTCTGTGGCTGCCCCCTCTGCCATCTGCCCATCCCCGCAGAGGGCCCATTGGGTCCCCTGGGTGAGGCCCTTTTCTACCCATTCCTACCTGGCCTGTAGGGGAGAAAGTTGAGATGGGGTTGGAGGGTGGGGGCAGCCAGAGCAAGTCTAATATCAGGGCAGCTGTGGGGCACGGGGCTGGGTTCTTGGTGCAGGCCCCCAACTCTGCCGGCTGCCCCGACATCCCTGTGCAGCAATTCCAGTTTCTATTTTAAACAGTTTGGGTTGGTTGCTTCTCTGCCTTCCTGCTGGGTGTTTATAGTGAGGAAAATAATTGGTAATATTTGCACAGATGTGCTGGCACTGCAGCTCGTCACAGGCACCTTTACCCAGGGGACCCCTGTCTCTGCCAGTCTGAGGAGCCAGCCTGAGGGGGAGTAGCTGAAGCCCCTATGCCTCCCAGGGGCCTCAGGCAGCCAGACAAAGGCAGAGCTGGGAAGCAGGAGGTCTCAAGTGCCCCAGGCATGCCAGAGGTGGCCCTCAGCCAGAAGGGGGTGTGTGGGTGTCTGTGCTCCAGGGACTGATCAGGGCAAGCCGGGGCTCCACAGGATGGGTCCTCTCCAGGGGCCACATGAGGGAAGCCCCCAGGGCTTCATTGCTGATTCCATTTTCTCCTGCAGAGCCTGAATTTGCAGGTGAGGGTAGGGGTGGGGTGAAAAGGAGAGAGGCAGGTCCAGGGTTGAAAACAGAAAATTGTGGCCAGGCGCAGTGGCTCATGCCTGTAATCCCAGCACTTTGGGAGGCCAAGGCAGGTGGATCACCTGAGGTCAGGAGTTCGAGACCAGCCTGACCAACATGGTGAAACCCCGTCTCTACTCAAAATGCAAAATTAACTGGGTATGGTGGCACACACCTATAATCCCAGCTACTCAGGAGGCTGAGGCAGGAGAATCACATGAACCAGGGGGTCGGAGGTTGCAGTGAGCCAAGATCACACCATTGCACTCCAGCCTGGGTGACATGAGCAAAACTCCGTCTCAAAAAAAAAAGTAGAAAATTCTCTGGCTTCTCTTTCCCCTTCTAAAGTCCTAGAACAGCATTTCAGAGGGCTGGGAAGGAGGTGGGAATTGTATGGGTGGTGAGGCTGACTGCTTGGCCTAAGGGCCTGGACCAGGGTGCACGCTGCCTAGTGCCCTTTCCGTGGCCCCAGCCAGGCGGGTGATGGGTGGGACCACAGCACAGGCAGGGCCAGGTGACACTCCTTAGCCACCATGCCTCCTCCTCCTCCTCCTTTTTAAAAATAATATATATATATATATATATATATATATATGTATATATATATTTTTTTTTTTAAGACCGGATCTCGGCCAGGCGCAGTGGCTCACGCCTGTAATCCCAGCACTTTGGGAGGTCAAGGCGGATGGATTGCCTGAGCTCAGAAGTTCGCGACCAGCCTGGGCAACACGGTAAAAACTCATCTCTTAAAAAAAAATAAAAAATAAAAATAAAAATAAAAAAGACAGGATCTCACTCTGTTGCCTAGGCAGGAGTGCAGTGGTGTGGTCACGGCTCATTGCAGCCTCAACCTCCCAGGCTCAAACAATCCTCCTGCCTCAGCCTCCCATGTAGTAGTGGGACCACCGGCATGTACCATCATTCCCATCACGCCTAGCTGGTTTTTAAATTTTTTTTGGAGATGAGGGTCTCACTATGTTGCCCAGGCTGGTCTTGAACTGGGCTCAAGTGACCCTCCGGCCTCAGCCTCCCAAAGTCGAGAGATTACAGGTGTGAGCTTCCTTCTTCACCTCTTGTATGTGCACATGGTGCATGTGTGTGCATACAGTTTTCGTGCATGTGTGGGTTGTGCCTGTGTATATGTCCATGTGTGTGCACAAAGGTTTGCATGTTTGCGTGGCTGTGCCCATGTGTATGCATGTGTGTGGGGACATGCATATGCAAGTATGTGCACATATATGGAACATGTACATGTGCCTATGAATGTGCATGTTGTGTGCCTGAAACAAGGGTTTGACTGTAGGCAATTTATTGGGAGATGGTCTCAGGAAGCACAGTTGGGGAGAGAAGGAGGCAGGGTGAGGGAGTCAGCCAATGAAGGGCATGTATCAGAGTGCTGCTGTGGGCAACTGAGCTCAGTCCCACTGGGGAGCCCAGTGATGCCACGTAGAACATGATCGAAGCAGCCTTCAGTGTGAAGAGGTGAATGCAGAGGGGATCTAGGTGGCACCAGTGTGTCTGCTGCTGGGTAGGTGGGTGTGGTGGACCTGGTGATATGCCGCCCAGGGCCCCTTCAGGAAGGATGGACAGCTTTCCAGATGATGCAGGTCCTGGCAGCAAATAGTCTTTGGGGCAAATCTTCTTTTCGGGTTGTCTCAGCTGAAGAACAGTGCCTTGCCTGAGGTCACACCCTCTTTCTAGGTGGCCCACATCTAATGACTGGTCAATGAGGGAGTAGAAAGGCCTGGCCATTCACCCCAATTTGGGTCAACTCTGGCTCCCCTGTGGGTTGGTCCAGTGTGTCATTCAGGACTGCATCACAACCTGACCACTCCCTCTGCCCAGATCTGCCCCCCTCTCCACCCTCGTACAAACGTTATCCCAACAGCAGCCCCTCACAGCCATCCCGCAAGCTAATCTCCTTCTGGGGTACGCAGCCCATGCAGCATGTGTGTGTGCATACGTGCACAGCTGTGTCTTAGAAGTAGGTGCACACATGGATATAGGATGTGCATAACCCGCCTCCCCAGGGCCCTCCATGCAAGTGACCTAGAGTCCAGGCCAGTCCCTGTGCTGGCCCAGGCAGGCTCCTGGGGGCTCAGGTCCAAGAGGACATTGGAGATTTGGGCTGAGCTGGGGCGTGAGGCAAGCAGAGATGGCTTCCTCTCCACATTGCCCAGGAGCAGCTCCTGGGATGGAAGATATGGTAAACCCAAGAGCAGGCAGCAGGGGTGTGGACTCTTTGGCCCCTCACACCCTGGATCCACCCTGGTAGCTCCAGGCAGCTCCATGGAGCCTCAGTCACTGTGGCTCACATCTCTTCCTCCCAGACCTCCAAGGCTCGTGAGCCTAGAAGGGCTTTTTTTTTTTTTTCCAGCATAGATCTTGCTTTGGCTTGCGGAGAGCAAGCCAAATGCAGGCCATCATCCTATAGCCAGGATACTCCAAGCAAAGAAGTCCTGGGATGGTGCACTTTGGCCACCGCTCCTTCTAAGGCCCATATGTGGGCTTGTCCTCTCTGGAGGCTGCCAGGGGTCAGAGCAGCAGACAGTAATGAGGTCAGTCTTGGAGAAGAATGAGATTCAGGCAAAGGTGGGGCAGGTAGCACAGCAAGAGACCTCGAGGGCACCAGGTGTTACAGAAATGTTTATTACAAGGATAAATCAGTACAATAATGGGATCTTAAAACTGCTGTGATGCAGGAGTGGAGGTCTGGGCAGTGCCCAAGGCAGGGGAGGACTGCGGGACAAGGGATGGTCAGTGGTGGAGCCACAGCCCTGGGCTCTGGATGGGGCACGGAAATGACCAGGTTCTCACATCATGCACAGCAGGGGCCTGTAGCGAGTCCAGACTGGCCTGCCCTCCCAGTGTGCTGCCCCGCTGCCTGCTGGATATCTCTAAAATTCTGGGTGTGCCCTAGTGCCTGAGGATGTTGAGAGTGGCCCTGAGCAGGGTCATCAGTGAAGATGCCCTGGGGTAACCAGGTACCCACCACTGACCCCCTAGCATTCAGAGATGGGAAAACATCATCGGTCTTTGAGAGGCAGGCCTGACGTTCCTCCTTGAATTGGCAGAACCCTTAGAATGGCTGTAGTTTGGCTCCAGCCCGGGTGTTCCAGGCAGAATCCAAACAGCCTGGAAGCCCCCCATGGAAGGCTCCTGCCACATCCCTACCCACAAATACAAGGAGTTTTATGAACAAATCCCTTAGATGAATTCTATTCATCCTAGGCTTTGTTCAAGGGACACCTCCTCCAAGAAGCCTTCCGAAGCACTGCTGACTACTCAGCAGGCCATTCCTTCCCTGAGTCCCTTCCCTTATCTATATTCACTACTCCTTAGGGTCCCTCCTTGCTGCATTTTCTGCAGGGCTGGACCTAGGGCCCTGCACTCATGGCTGGTGAGCTGATAGCACTCTCTGGGTCTAGTCTACTTGTGATGGCACCAGCTCATGGCCCCCAGGCAAAGCCCAGAAAAGAATGATGGGGGCGGGGAGTGGGCGTAGAATAGGAAGACTCATGTAGTTCAGCAATATTGCGGGACCTCCAGTCTCCATCATTGCAACTGCCTTTTGCAGCCGCATAAAGAAGCTCCAAGAACCTGGCCTTGGTTCAGAGTTTACATACCGAGGCTCCTCTTCCCCATCTAGTCTGCAGTGCCTTACAAGCCCACAGGGGAGATCAGCACCCTCTAGAATCAGAAACAGCAAGAGGCCTCCTTGCCTCCATCTATTTCCTTCCTGGCCTGCTGAGGTCTGGGCATGATGGGGCCAGAGTAGAGTTGGGGGAAGCTCAGGATGTCCCCAGGTGAAGATCCTTATGGGCCGAAAGGATTGGGACAAGTCCCTTTGTCCCCTGGGCACCCCTTTTCCTCCCTGTAACCTCCTGCTCTTGCTCTGTGGGGTGGTTGGCTGGGTAGGTGGTGGGCTGGCTGCATGGCAGGAGATCCTCTAGGGAATGGGCAGAATGGACTGAGTGAGGCCCTGCTGGGATGGCCTGGTGGGCAGTCCTGCCTTCTGCTTCCCATCTGCAGCCTGGGTTAGAGAGTGGTGCCCCGGGCCCTGCTCTGGGGCTGGGAGCACTGGGCAAGCAAAAGTGAAGACTGAGCTCTGCAGGCTGCAGAATGGGAGTCCCCCCTCAGCAAGCCACTCTTGGGGGGCTCGGCCTTTCCACAGGGTCTGCAACACCAAGCCCCACTGCTTCCTCAGGTGGGCAGGGGAGTCAGGATGCAGGCCCTACTGGCTACTAGCCATGGCCATTCTGGGACATGTAAGCTGCCAGAGCCACCACCACGGCCACGTAGAGACCAGCCCCCACGGCGATGGCGAGTGTGGCTAGGAAGAGGGCCCGGCGGGAGGTGGTGCTGGCCAGGCGGAAGTCCCCTTTGGAGATGGCCTTGCTGGTCTAGAGGAAGAGAGATGCTGATGAACAGAGTGTCCCCACACCCAGCAAAACAGCCCAGCCTGCCAGGCCCCTGACCCCATCCCGCAGACAGGATGCCAAGCCCTCCAGTAGAGGGATACATCAGAGAAGAGACCCTGGGTCCCAGATGCTCTTACCCCCTGGGAGAAGTAGAAGGCAGCAATGCCCAGTGGCCAGAAGCAGCAGAGCATGGAGAAAAGAGTAAGGCCCAGGTGGTCCCTGGGAGGCAGCGTGAGGAAGTTGTCTTCACTTTCACTCTCTGTTGAAGTGGCATCGCTCTGCAAAACAGTGGGGTTTGGTGACCAGGCCCAGGATCAGCCCAGCCCCATCAGGCTGGCAAGAGGTTTTCAAAAAGACAATGCCCAGTGGGCAGTGACATGGAGCAACAGGCAGTGTCTTCTGCCGAAGGTAGGGGTGTAGGCTGGCCTTGGCACTCTCTATCAAAAGCCTTGACAACGGCACAACGATTCCACTTTTAGGAATTTATCAAAAGAAAAGAAAGCAAGTATCTAAGTCCAGGGTTGTTCATCATAGGACAGCAATTGTGAAAGATTAGAAACACTCTCATTGGCCAGGCCTAGTGGCTCATGCCTGTAATCACAGCACTTTGGGAGGCTGAGATGGGTGGATCACCTGAGGTCAGGAGTTTGAGACCAGCCTGGCCAACATGATGAAACTACCTCTCTACTAAAAATACAAAAATTAGTGGGGCGTGGTGGCGGGTGCCTATACCCAGTTACTTGGGAGGCTGAGGCAGGAGAAATCAAATGAACCTGGGAGGTGGAGGGTGCAGTGAGCTGAGATCGTGCCACTGCACTCCAGCTTAGGCAATAGAGCGAGACCCTGTCTCAAAAGAAAAAAAAAAGAAACACTCTCACTGACCAATGACCAGGAGACTGTGTTAATAAATGATGGAAGAACTCACAATGGAAGACCACGTAAACATTAAAAATCACCTCGCAGGAAAACATTAAATTATGTGGAGCAATAATAAAATATGTTGCTTAGAGAAATACAATCAGATTATAGAACTGTATGTCAAGATTTCTTCTGGGGAGTGGGCTGGGGAAAAATCATCTACCAAAATGTTATCTTTGAGTGCGATGAGTTTGAATTATTTATATAATTCAGAAAACAAGAACACCAAGTGCTATTGAACAATGAAATGGTCAACTCAAGCTACTGTTTCCTCAAAGCACGGGCTGCATCTGTGTCCCAAGTCCTTTTCTTTGGTAGCATACAGATTCCTGGGCCTCAGCCCAGGGCTATTAAATCTCAGTATCTGGTGATGGGGCTCTGGGAACTTGCATTGTATTTACTTATTTATTTATTTATTTATTTATTTATTTTGAGGCGGAGTTTTGCTCGTTACCCAAGCTGGAGTGCAATGGCACGATCTTGGCTCACCGCAACCTCTGCCTCCTGGGTTCAGGCAATTCTCCTGCCTCAGCCTCCTGAGTAGCTGGGATTACAGGCACGCGCCATCATGCCCGGCTAATTTTTTGTAGTTTTAGTAGAGACGGGGTTTCACCATGTTGACCAGGATGGTCTCGATCTCCTGACTTCGTGATCCACCCGCCTCGGCCTCCCAAAGTGCTGGGATTACAGGCCTGAGCCACCGCACCCGGGCTATTTATTTTTATTTTTATTTTTTTAAGTCAGGATCTTGCTCTATCACCCGGCTAAAATGCAGTGGCGCAATCATGGCTCACTGCAGCCTCAATTTCCTGGGCTCAAGCCATCCTCCCACTTCAGCCTCCCAAGTAGCTGGGACCACAGGGACACGCCACCATGCTTGGCTAATTAAAAAAATTTTTTTGTAGAGTTGGGGGTCTCCCTCAGTGACTCAGGCTGGAATCTGCATTTTAACTTCATGCACTTACCTCCTCTTCGTCCTGGTCATCCTCCTGGCCCCGCAGCTCCTCTTGTACCCCGTAGGACACAGTCTGGATGGTGACATTCTCTGCAGCTTGGCCAGGTCCCGTGGGCTGCTCTGTGGGCCCCTCCTGCGGCTCCCTGTCCTCTGTGAAGCTGGTCTCACAGCTGCCTGGCCTGGGCTCCTTGACCTTGTCTCTCCCCAGGAGGCAGCTGGGCCGGTACCAGGCCTCCACAGCCAGCTGCAAGGACCCTGGGTCCAGGAGCTGGTGGGCTCTGGCAGGGCCAGCGCTGCCTAGGAGGTAGGAGTAGAGCTTTTCCTGGCAGGACCAGCTGGGTGGGGCCTCCGGGTAGGGATAGGGGCCATGGAGTTGGGCAGGGTTCCTGGGCAGCAGCGGATTCTGTAGTTCACTCAGACTCTCCATTCTGGGGGCAGCTGCTGGGGACGGGAGCCTGGGCCAGCCGAGCAGTCTTCAGAGAGCCTGTCGGAAGGGCAAGACAGATAAGCACTGAGGCCAGGGCACTGGAGGCAGCACCCGAAGTGGTGAAGAGCATGGGTCCTGCTGTCTGACTTGGCTCGAACCCTGCCTTTGTCCTTTGCAAGATGCGGGACCTGGAACTGGCTACTTCACTTCTCACAGCCTCTGCTTCTTTGTGGATTGGGCTGGCAGTGGTGCTTACCCCACATAGTTGGCTGAGTCACTTGTCTGTTCAACACATATTTATTGAGCATCAGCTATATGCCAGGCACTGTTCCAGATGTTTGGGATACCATGGTGAGAAGGATGAGAAGCAGGGAAGGGAGCAGACGCATGCTTTGCCTTCACAAAGCTTCCAGTGTGGTGAAGACAAGTGTAAAATCACGTCTCTGTCCTGAAGAAGTACAGCAGGTCCATGTAAGCATGGACGGAGCCGACACAGAGACCCAGGGAAGGCCTTGGAGCTAGATTCGGAAGAAGAGTGCGGGTCAACAGGTGAAGGGGATAGGGACATATTTCACGCAGAGGGAAGAATGTGTGCAAAGAGCCCGTGGCTGGATACAGAGTGGTAGGCATGAGAGCCTAGGAGAAGGCAGGTGTGGTGCAGGGCACAGGGAGGTGTGAGATGGGGTGTGGGGGCCAGACTGTGTAGCCCTGCTGGAGTCTAAGAGGGGGTGATAGGGTGGGATCTGGGTCCTGAAGCCTTCCCCATGGCTGTGTGTGGGATTGGAGTGGAGAGGGCTGGACCGACTGACCCCATTAGGGGGCCAATGCTATGGCTGCAGGCAAGCAAAGATAACTAGGGCTCCGTTGTGGTGTAGATGGAGGAAAGGGAACTGATCCTGGGAAATATTCACAGGACTCAGTGGCAGGTGGGATTTGGGGTTGAGAGAGGATTCATTCCAGGGTTGAAAGGGAGTATGCTGAGCCCAGAACTCGGCACACAGCGTGCGCTCAGAGCTGTCAGCTCTTACTGAGGGAGGATGCCTGCCCCAGCCAGTCTTAGAGGAATGCACCTTGGTAACTCCCCCCTAAGGTGAACTGGGACTTTGAGAAGTTCCCACAGGATCTAAGGTGGGGCCTGCTGGGTGCTGAGGTCTGGAGCTGCACATTCCAGCTGGGAGTATGGAAACACCCAGGACTTCTCGTTCCTCCTTAGCTGCCCCGGGCACTTACTCTGGGAGTGGAAAACATGAGCCCCAAAGGTCCTCCAGCCTCTTTCCTAGCTGACTGTAATGTATGTCCCTTCCACCTGCAGCCTCAAGTCAGGCACACTGTACTGTGTTGTCACCATCCATGCGGGCTGAGGTATGCAGGGGCCTTGGGGTCCACAGAGCAGATGACTGCATTCAACTTGCCCCTGCCCTTCACTTTGCCTCACCAGGAGGACTGCCCTCATGTCTGATCTCTCCAGGAGGGATGGGAAGATACCTGAAGACCATAGGGGCATTTGGAGGGCACTTGTTCAAAGCTGGCAGGGGCAGCTGAATCCCAGTTCATCCCCCTCTTCCCCCATCACTGCTCCTGTCAGACTCTCGTGATCAAATACACCCAGCGGAGGCTCCGCAATCCCAGCCACACTCAGCCTTTCTCGGCTTTCCTCCTCCCTTGTACTCGGATGGTGCCTTGGAGCAGGGCTTCTTAGCACTTCCTGCACAAAGATATATGGTCCTGGCTTTACACAATCTGAAAAACTGGAAGCCACCTAAACATCCAGCAATTGGAGACAAGTTAACTAAATTATGGTGCACAATATGGTGGTATGAGGCCTTCGAACAGATTTACAAAGAGTAATGACGTGAGAAAATGCTCACTGCAGATTCGGTGAGAGAGAAGAAAAGAAAATGGTAAGTGCATGTAATCTCAACTCTGCCAAAATGTCAAGAGTGATTATCTCCAGGGGTGGGAGCACAGGTGCTTTTCATTTTCTTTCTTATACTCTGTTTTTTTTCTGTTTTCCACATTTTTTTTTTTTTTTACAATGAGCATGTACTACTTTTAAACCAGAAAAAAATTAAGTGCATAGATTTCTTCTGAGCCAAATTATCTAAAATCAGTTTCAAACCTCCTTAGGCTGAGGGGTTCTTTCTAGGTTTGGCGGCTGAGCACAGCATTAAAGCCCGCTCCCACATACACTCACACACACACACACACACACACACACACACACACACACATACACACACACACACCCTCTGCTTCCATAAAGCAACCCGAGTTAGCAGCAGCTGCACCTGCTCACAGTCCAGCCAAGGCTCACAGTCCAGCCAAGGGTCACGGTTCTCCACACAGCTCATGCTCACCCCATATCCTACTAGGCCCACATGGGGAGTTCAAAGACATGATCCTGGAGGCCCCTCACAGAGTCCTGACCAGAAGGAAGGAGTGGCAGGTCCCCAGACACAGCCTTCCTGCCCTTGGCTTGGCCTGGCCTTTTAGCCTGTTTGTTCCTTGGGTCTGTCTCTCCCTGTTCACTGGAGTAAGGGACCAGCACTCAGAGCAGAGCAATTATCATCACCACTGTCGTGGCTTGGACTTCCTGGATGGTGCGTGCCTTCCAGACCCTGTGGTTACCAGAGTACCTGTGGGCAAGTGTGCCCATGTGTGTGTGTATGCATGCGTGTGTGTACTCTGTTCCAGAGAAACGACATGAGAGGGTCTGGAATTCTGAAGCTAAGATTGCTTCAAATTGTGCAATTGGGGCTGCGGGTCTGGGCCCCACAAGAGGAGGGGGAGAGAAGGTGGCTCTGACGCCACAGCACCCAGATTGTCTTTTTCTGAGCTGAGAACTTAGCTGGACTGGAAAGTTTCCCACTCCCTGATTTGAGGATGGAGAGGACACTGCCATCTTCTAGGTCGGGGGCAGGAATCCACTGGCGTCCAATTACAGCCTCCTGCTGAGTCCAATTGCACTAGAGTCCAGTCATACAGTGTGACATTGGTTCACTTATCTGTCAAATGTATGAGAGATTTAGGAGGAGTTGATTTTTAACAACTCAGCTCAATATGACCCTGGATTTTATTGGGAGAAGAAGAATAACTACACTTAATTGAGCCTTTTACCATGTGCCAGGAACTGTTCTAAATGCTCGTGTTGAATTGATATTCCTAGTGGGAGAATAACAACAGGAGAGAGGGCTTCCTCTTTCAGCTGGGGCAGACTAAGTCATGTCACGCTAAACTACCAATAATAGCTAGAAAAGCAATGTGTGTGGGGTGGGGAATATGAAGGCTTCAAGGAATCACCAAGGGAGTAAGAACTGGAGGGTCAGAATGCCAAGATCCCAGAGGACAGAGAAACACAGGGAGGCCAGCCTGGCAGCTGGCACTGCATTCCCTTTGAGGCCTTTCCTGATTCCTAAGGAGCAGCTTAGAGGCTGCCCTTCCAGAAGCCTCAGGGCTGGGGGAGAAAAATGGGAGGTCAGGGCCTGTTAGGAGGAGAGCCCCCAGTAGACACCCTGGTTTTCAATTTGGACCTCATTAAGGCTACACGCTGGAAGTTGGAGAAAACCAGAAACAAACCAGCCCTTGCAGCATTGAAACCAGGCTTTGAATCAGCTCCACCCCTCTTTGGATGAAGGCTATCTGCACACAGCCCAGCTGCCTGCCAGAAGTGAAAGTTGTCTCAGGGCTGTGGTTCTCAAACTTCAGCATGCCTTGGCATCACAGGGAGGATTTGTTAAACCTCGACTGTTGGATTTTACCTTCATGGTTTATGATTCTGGGGTGGGGCCTGGGAATTTGCATTTCTAACAAGTTCCCAAGTAATGTTGATGCTGCTGGTTGAGGAACCACACTTGAAGAACCACTGCTCTGATAGTCACTGAAAAACGAGTAAAAAAATGTATAACCACCATGGGGAATATTAAAGGCTAAAAATATGGCTGGGCGCAGTGGCTCACGCCTGTAATCCAAGCACTTTGGAGGCCAAGGCAGGCGGATCACCTAGGTAGGGAGTTCAAGATCAGCCTGACCAACATGGTGAAACCCCGTCTTTTTAAAAAAAAAAAAAAAAAAAGAATAAAAATACTTTTTTCTTTGAGACAGAGTCTTGCTCTGTTTCCCAGACTGGAGTGCAGTGGCATGATCCCAGCTCACTGCAGCCTTGACTTCCTGGGCTCAAGCGATTCTATCTCAACCTCCCAGGTAGCTGGGACTACAGGCATGTACCACCACGCCCAGCTAATTGTTTGTATTCTTTTTTTTTTTTGAGACAGAGTTTCGCTGTTGTTGCCCAGACTGGAGTGCAATGGCACGATCTCGGCTCACCGCAACCTCCGCCTCCTGGGTTCAAGCAATTCTCCGGCCTCAGCCTCCCCAGTAGCTGGGACTACAGGCACGCACCATCATGCCCAGCTAATTTTTGTATTTTCAGTAGAGACGAGGTTTCACCTTGTTGACCAGGATGGTCTCGATCTCTTGACCTCGTGATCCACCCGCCTCGGCCTCCCAAAGTGCTGGGATTACAGGCTTGAGCCACCGCGCCCGGCTTGAATTCTTTATAGAGACAGGGTTTTGCCATGTTTCCCAGGCTGTTCTCCAATTCCTGGGCTCAAGCAACTCTCCCACCTTGGCCTCCCAAAGTAGAATTATAGACGTGAGCTACCGTACCTGGCTGAAATAATAAAAACACTTGATTTATCCAAAAAGAGGCAAGAAAAAAATAGAAAAAGTAGCCGGGTGTAGTGGCTCATGCCTGTAATCCTAGCACTTTGGGAGGCCGAGGTGGGTGGATCTCCTGAGGTCAGGAGATCAAGACCAGCCTGGCCATCATGGTGAAACCACATCTTTAAAAAAAAAAAAAGGAAAGAAAAAAATAGAAAAAGGAATAGGTGAGACAAATAGGAAGTAAATAGTTAAGATGTTAGGCTTATAACCAACTATATTAGTAATTACAATGAATGTAAATGGAATAAAATTGTCCATAAAAAGACAAAGACAGTCATATAGTGTTTTATTCTACTTATATGAAATACTAGGAAAGGCAAAACTATAGTGACAGA